ATCTTGTCACCACCCACCTTAGTTCAGTGACTATTCCTACCTCTTCTTCATGCTGCAAGTGATGCCAGCACCTGAGTGTGCTCACAGCTTCCAGAAGGTGGCTGCCACCAGAGGCTGCAGAGGCCCTTGCTAACTCAGCACTTACTCCAGCAAGAACCCTGAAACAGTGAGCAAGGAACAGCTAAGGACCTCACGAGGACAGACCGTACCACCTCGTCAGAGATGGATCAGAGTTCCCAAGAGAAACAAAATGTGAATATGCAGAGATCTGTTTAAGGAATTGACTGCTCACATATCCCAGACCCAAGTTGTAGTTCATGTCCAAAGGCCACCTGCTGGAGAATTCTCTCTCATCAAGAGCCAGTCTTTGACTCTATACATGTCTTCATTGACTGGATGGGTCCCAGGGCTACCTGCTGGTTGTGTGACACTATTCCTGGGTGTGAACAAACATCTACTTACTCTAGATAGGGAACCAACAACAGACCAAAGGATAATGCCAAAGTCCAACTTGGTAAACCCACTGAGTTTTATTGGGATAATCTACAGAAGTGACTCAAAGACAGCTGCATGCTTTACCAAAGCCCAGCCCAGCATGGGTGACAGCTCATGAACGTTAGAAACCTGGAACACTACACAGCCTGCAGGCAGCAACAGACTGGACAGTATCTTCCAAGTAGCTCAGTTGGTCTGAGCCTCTTCCAAGCAGTTCAGCTGGTCTGAGTGTGTCTCTCAGTAGTCCTTGGGACTCATAGATGCTTGAGGAGGGAGGGGCCTAGTGAATCTGGTCAGTCCCAGAGACTTCTTGAAGCCTTTGAGTTGTTTACTTCTTAATCTTTTTCGTTGTTTTGTTTTTTTCTGTTTGCTTTGTGTTTTTTAGCCCCAGCTGGCTCAGAACTCACTATGTAGACCATGATCTAGGCGATAGCCTGCTTCTGCCCCAGAGTGCTGGGATTAAAGGTTTGTGCCACCAGGCCAGGCTTTACTTCCCAATCTTAATGAATGTCCCTGTGGGATGGAATGTTATACCTCCCCTTAGAACATCTTATATCTTAATGAGCTGCCTTCTAAAACCAAATGTTTGAGGAAATGGCCACACAACATTGTTCTACTTTGGAGTCCAGGATTCCATTGTTAATTCGGCCAAAGAAACCCTCTTAGGAATCTAGACTGTTTGCTCAAATATCTGGACACCTATGGCCAAACCAAGTTGACCAGATTAACTAGCAGGGTAGATGAAGATGTTGCTTAACAGGATGTTGCTACATTGAGGTCAAACAGTAAGCAGGGGCCAATCCTCAGGCCAGTTTCACTGTTCTAATGAAAACGAGGTAAATTTCCTGAACTTCAGACCATCAAATATGGATGTAATGAAGCATCCCCAAGATCCAAAGCTCAGTTCTGCCCATACACCAAGCAGTAGAGGGCCCTGAAGCAGCATTAAAGATCTCACAAAAGCAGAAACCCATCCACGTTGGCTCTCACCTTGGTGACTGGCAGAACTTTCCAGTTTTCCTCTGTGGCACTTGATTAACGTTGTCACCTTTGACCCTTTGCTGCCTGTCTTCTTTCCCTCATTCAGATTACACATATCGTAAGCACCTAATGCTGACAGCTATGCCAAGTTTGGTGGTGTCATTCAGTGTGTAAACACAGTGAAGCGGGTGGTGGGGTGCTGGCCTTTGGCTACCTGGGCCGGGCTCATTGTCCATGCTGGTGAAAACAGGCCCGAGCCACTCTGCATATCTTAGTCAACATAAAGAACACATGTGGGCTAGCGTGCTGGTAAATCTGGCAACCTGAGTTTGATCTGGGACCCACATGGTAGAGAGAACTAACTCTCCCAAGTTTTCTTCTGGCCTCCACATACGTGCTGTGGCAAATGTGTGCCCACACACATAAGCATAGGCACACACAAACATAAGTTTTTTAAATAAATACAAATTATTTCATATCTTGCTCCCTAAAATACAGGAATAATGAGTGCTAAATCTGCACAGGTCTGGAATACGAAAAGTCAGTCAGCATAGTGTCATCTTGGCATTTGACAGCTCTCATCTTCATCCATCTTGAACCTTTTAGAATTATCTGAGGTTGAAATACTAAATCTGTGCTTTTTGCTTAAAGTAAATGGAAGACTCATTAGTCACTCAAAAAACTTCCAATTTCTAGCACAAAAATTACATAAAGTTGCAGTATGTCAGATTCTGTTCCGCCCTCTTTCCTCTCCTCTCATTCATCTGCTTGTTAATCAGGGACTGGTTTAGGGCTTGGCCCCTGACCCTGTAGTAGGCTCCAGGAGCAAGATCAGCTGGGCAGATCCCAGTTCCAGGAGACCTGAGCCCTTTAGGCCCCTCCTGTAGGCTGCCTCCACCCTGGTCCTGCTGACAAAACATTCTCCTCAAAGCCTTCTCTGCCATCTCCTGTCTCCCTCTCCTAACTTACTTCCTCCATCTTTCTGTTAGCTCTACTACACATCTTCATTTTATTTTACCACTTATTATTGCCTGTCATCTTCACTACTGAATGTGAGCTTCAAGATGAAAATTCTTTCCATCTGATGGACTCCATCCCCAGACTCTGAGGAAGTCTGGCTCATAGACAAAGGGTCTGGTATTAAAGCCACCTAAGTAGAGTAGACATGTCCCAGAGCATCCATGGCAAGGGAAGGTGCATTCAGGCCTGGGTGAGTGTGGGCCCAGTGGAGAGCAGCAAACGGCAGGCTGAAGATCCATCCTCTAGGGGACAGCAGCGGACCAGAATGCCACTCAGTGTAGACACAGTTAGGCCACAGATACTGCTTAAGTATCAATGCCTGGGCCAGGTAAGAAACTCTGAGGTTCTGAACCAAGTTGGTAATGTAAAGGCAATGCTTTTCATGGTTAAGGTGAAACCGTAAGTTCACTTTGAGGTTCCTCTTCGAAAACAGGATGTGATGTCCAACTGAAAGTTTCAATGCCCAGCTGAGAACGTGAAGGGCTTGTAATGGTCACTCATTCCATACCATGCATTGCTACTTTAATGGGAGACACTGTTCCTGGGCGGGGCAAAGCACCCTGGACAGGAGCTATGTACCTCAAGACAAGAGATGCTGGCAGCACAGCTGTGGGTAAAGCTGGTCTTGGAGGTAGGCTGTTCTCAGTGTCTTTCCACTCCCTCACCTTTAACTCAGGGCATCCCCCCAGGTCTAGCTTCAGAATGTTTCTTCCCAGAATACTCCAGGGCTAACTGCTCTCCACCAAGGCTCTCTATTCCACAGCTTATTGGATAGGGTGGTCCCCAGTTCAGATACTACCAGCCAACCCTTGTTTGCTTCTCTTTATGTAAAATACTAAACCAACACTAACCTCCCCATTCTCCCTGTAAACCTGGCAGGGATGTTTAAGACAGGCCTGCTATGTGGGTAGAAATCTGGGCTAGAGATAAGGTTTGTGCATGCTCACAGAGGAGCAAACAAGGAGCTGGAGAGATGGCTCAGTGGTTTAGAGCACTGGCTGCTCTTGCAGGGGACCCAGGTTCAGTTCTCAGCACCAACATGGTGGCTAACAACCATCCACAATACCCTCTTTTGGCCTCCACAGGCATTGGACATGCATGGTACACTTACATACATGTAGACAAAACACTCATACACGTAAAATAGAAATAAATGTTTGACAAAGAGGCAACACGGACTCCTCTGTAAAAGTTGAAACCCTAGCTTTGAGGTGTGTTTATAAAGGAACTTGAAATAAACAACAGCCACCTTCTAAACTATCCTGATACAGAGACACATACTTCTTGCTAAGGACACTGAAGGAACCAATTCTAGTCTAGACAGGAAATAAGCACCTTACCTACTACCCATCTTTCCACTGGGCCTTCCCCACATCTCAACACCAACCACAGGTGCTAGAAAGAAGCACACACTCTGAACCACAAGCCAGGGGGGCAATGAAAACAGAGGGAGGGGCAGAGGGACAATGCTAGGAGGATCAAGGTGATTTGAGGACACTGACCCCAGGGCCACAGTCCTTATCCCAGCACCTGAGGCAGGGCCAGCTCCTCCCTCTAAAACAGAAAAAATAAAGGACTGCTTCTGATGAAATTCTTGCTAATACTTGTCAAAGGGACAACTGTGTCAGCTCACATCCTGTGGTGAGAAAAGCTGGGTGCAGTGGTGGAGGTGCACCTGATAAATCTGAGTTTTCAAACCACTGCAGTTCAGCTGCGTCTCTTATAGACATCACCAAGTCAGGCTCTGCTTTTTGAGCCAATCTGAAAGTCTGTTTTCAATCAACATAGCATGTGGATACATTCATATCAGTCAACATAGCAGCTTTTAAAGATACTGTTCTGGAAATGCAGTTGTTCTGAAGACCAAGCATTTCAAATTGCTTTAACATTACACCTGCACATATTGTTCTAACTGCTAGATAAAGCAAAGAAGACAGGGCTGGTGAGACGGCTCAGTGAGGAAAAGCACCGTGGCACAGCCTGATGGCTTAATTTGATTCCCAGAAGCTAGAGTGGGAGAAATGACTCCCAAAAGTTGTCCTCTGACCTCTATATAGGTGCCAAGGCATGTATACATCCACACTCACACATATATTATCCACACACAGATTTTTTTTTAATAAAAAAAAATAAGTAAACAGAAGCGAGGTATGGTAGTACACACCTATAACCTCAGCACTTGGGAGAGGCAGGTGGAGACCAGCCTGGTTTATACAGTGAGTTCCAGGCCAGCTGGAGCTACAGGGGGACCCTGTCTCAAAAATAAACAAAATAAACAGGATATATAAACTTGACTAAAATAGTTAAAAAAAATAAAGCTGAAAATCAGGCATGGTGGCACACACCTTTAATCCTAGCAGTTGGGAGGCAGAGGCAGATGGACCTTTGTTGAGTTTGAGGCCAGTCTGGTCTACATAGCAGGTCCAGGCCAGCCAGAGCTAATGAGACTTTGTCTCAAAAAAATCACAAAATAAAAGTAAATAATAGAGTAGAGGTAGAACATGTAGTTTCTAGAAGCAGAAGGCAGTTTTAATGAAGGCACACCTCAGAAGGATACCCTCCAGAGACCACCACCATCCTCACTTCACAGGTGAGACTGTCACTGCAGGTCATGAGCCTGATGCAGTAGTCCACACAACACAAAAGCTACACTAAAGCCCTCTAGAAGGTTCAAAAATGTGCTCTGTAGCGATGGATCACTGTCTTGGGCTATACTCACAATTACAAGTTCTTATTAGCAATACAATATCTGGCCATTTTCTAGTAAGAAATAAGGCCTGACACTAACTGCCTGTGGCAGTGAGCTGTCAGGGAAAGCAGCCTAAAGCAGTACCTACTGATTGGAGGGGACAAAAACCAACTCATGAACACACAAGAAAAAAAGCCAAACACATTTTAAGAAACATTTGTCATCAGTTTTTAGAAACATGATTTGTGAATTTTGCTTGCTTGTGAAACACAAAATATTTCCAAAACGTGGCCATCAACGTTGGGTCTTTGTAGGTGGAGGGTAGAAGAGTGGGCCATCTTCACAGACCATCAACCCCTCTGTGGACGCCCCCTCGGCAAGCCATGCTTCCTGCTTGTAGGGAAGCTGCTCACCTGGCTCAGTGCAATTTCTCAAATGGAAGCCCTCTTTGGTGAAGCACAGCTCTATCTGACCGATGGTTTGCACGTCCTCTCCCTAAAAATAAAAGTGGCAGACACGTCAGAACTCAGACTTTGGATTATTATCAGTTTGGGGATCACAACATTTTAGCACTGACTTGAAAGTAACAAAAGTAGTGGCTCCAGATCTGAGACTCCAGACTATGGGGGTCTACAAACAGGAGAAAGTTGAGGGCTGGAGGAGACTGACACAACTTGGTCTGGGGTGAGGAGGTATGCTTTTTCAGCTTGGAAACACAGGTGACTACAAAAATACACGCAGACTCAAATGTGCCCACAGCACACATCAGGACCCTGGGAGAGGAAATCTCAAGATAATAGTTCTCAACTGCTAAAGGAATCACAATGCTTTGTTTATCAGCTAAAAAAAAGAGCCATAATGTTGGCTGAACATTGAAGGGTTAGCTACAACTAAAATGATGAAGAGTGGCAACATAAAAAACTTAGATGTTTATGTGCCTCCTCCTCTTCCCTCTCCACCTTCCAACAGGATATTCTCTTTAGGGTTAAGTGGTACAAAAAACAATGCCCATTCCAGCATGTGTCAAAGAACCATGGGTGATTTCAAAATATCTATGTGCACATACAGCACAGACCCATAGGTCCAAACACCAACAAACACTCATATGCCTATACATATAGCACATGCCCACATATGCACATACATGTGCATGTACAGGCTCAGACATCCATAGCCCACATGCCAATGTGGACACACATCTGTGTCCACACAGACACACATGCATGCACCCATTTGCCCGAACACGTACACATACAGACACTGTGCCCAAATGTAACTCTGTCCCAGAAACTCCAGTGAAGACAAAGCTGTCTGGAAAATAAACTTATCTGTTCAGTAGGAAGAAACAACATGACAAAACACACATCTGACCTGTTCTGGCAGAAGACACTGGATTTTAGGCACCACGCCATAGATTCTGGTGAGGGCATCTTTGAAATCTGCAAGCTGATATTAAATAAAAATATTATGAACAAACTTCAACAGGAAACTTCTAAACAGCTCTGCTTTCTACAGGGCAGGACAAATGCAGCAGTGTCAGCACCCTGCCCACTTAAGAGTTCCCCATATGGGAATTCAGAAGGCTCAGTGCGGAAAGGCATTTGCCACCAAGCCTGATAACCTGTGTTCAATCTCTGCAACCCAGAGGATGAAAGGAGGAAGTGACTCCTGTAAGCTGTCCTCTGACCTCCACACATAACACTGTGGCATATGCACACACACACACACACACGTTTTTTTTTTTTAAAGAGCCCCCCCCTTTGCCTATAGAACTGGAATGATGCTTGAGAATGTCCTGCCTCCATCACAAAGGATAGGATGCTGTCAGCTTGAACTTTACCCATGAGACCCAAGTTATCCCCAACACGTTATACCCTTTCTGCTCCCACCTTCCTCTCTACCAAGCAGCCTAATTCCCTTCTCTCTGACTCCATCCCAGTCTAGCCTCTCCACTTCAGATTATCTTACCTAAAGTCAACCTTGCCAGCTGACCCATACTCCAGCTCTTGGGGCCCCTAAAGCCTCCCAGGCCTGCTTAGGCCTCAAACCTCTGCCACTGTACCTCCCCTTCCCCACAATGGGTACTGCCTCCATCACAGAAGACCTTCAATGCACCAACCACCCATACTGTAAACTGCAAATTTAGACCCCTATGAGCTTCAAACTCCTCCATTAAAGGGTGAACAGCACACCATGCTCCACTCTGGGTCCCTTTACTTCCTCTCCTCTCCTGAGCTCTTTTGCTTCCTCCCAGGAAGGTATCTGCACTCCCCAGCCTTTGTGCCATGGTTTCTGCAACAGACACTTCTCCAGCTATGCCTGCCCATCCTGACCCCATGCCCACCCTCTCTGTAACTCTGCTGTGGGTTCTGGCAGCACTTGCTTCCCCGCCCACACCCATCCCTCTGCTGCCTCATGCTGGAAGCCTTCGTTCCTTCCCATGTGTGTCTCTTCCAGGGTTCTCCTTGCAGAACCTCAGATTCATGTCCAGCTGAATCACAATACACCTGTCTGAGTCCTACAGAGGCCAGGCCTGGTCCCACAGAGCCAAGTCCGGTAGCTACCACATGGTTCAGCCTTTGACCTCCCTAGAGGTCAGCTATCCCCCTCTCCCCACCAGGCAATTAGAACACTACCTAGGACACAGTACACTAGGAACTCTTCAGCTTGGCAATGAGATGAAATCCTCATGCCACAATGTGATTCAGCTCCCCTACCCCAGCTCCCACTTCATACCCTTCCACTCCTGGGTCCCTGAAAAGCTGTCTGCTCTCACTTCCCAGCTCTGTCCATGCTCCCAATCACCTAGTATCCTCCCTAGAGCCCTTACAAGCTACACTTCAACCATCAATTTCTAGATGTCTAGTCCCCAGCTCTTCCCAGGTGTCCAGCAGCACCAATGTCCCACAGAACACATGGGTGGACACGGCCTGGACTCTGCATGCAAAGCAGAAAGTCTGCCCATATGTCAGACCTTATGGATCAGGAGCTCTGCCAAGGCACTGCCTGATATTCCTGCCACCTCACTAAGTGCATGGACAGCTCAGCAATGTGCTGTCCTTGTCATTCCTGTCACCACTGAGATCACCCCTGAAAATTAAGTTGGGTGAAACTGTAAACCTGTTCCCTTTATCAACTTGAATGGGAAGGTCCTGCAAATCCTCATCCCATGGTTACCCAGAAGGGTCTGACTCAATCGGCATCCAAAGCCTTTCCTCAAGCCCTCTGGCTCCAACTCCCTCCTCTCTACTCAAAGAGAAATACACATCAACCTGGAAAATGAGCACACAGCACAGCAGACACCCCTCACAGACAAAGCTACCAGGTTATTTTACACACTGCCCACAGGACAAAGTAACTGTTCAGCATCCAGCCCTGGCCCAGAACAAGTCCTCTCAACCAGCTTTTAAAGCCATGCCTATGATAAGCACAAAAACCACCTCAAGGAATCGCTCTAAAGCAAGAGTCTGCAAACTTTATCTGTAAAGCCCAGATAGTATTTTAAGCTTTGCAAGTGACACATCTCTCTGTGGCAATCAAAACCCAAATAACCCAGAACTGAAAGCATTAACATTGCACATATCCTTTCTAGTCAGTAAGGATCCTATGTTCACAGTATGTTCATGAAAAACAAAGTCAGTTTTGTTTCTCTCTCAAACATTACAACACTGAATGTGCTTTCCTTCAAACTCATCTACACTTGGACCTGGAGGGCACACTACTCTGCAGAACCCACCAACCTGTGCTTCCAAGTCACTGACCTAAACAGCCTTTCGTTTATGTTCATATGCAAATGCAAACAATTCAAGCATCAAAGTTAGTATATGAGAGTTTGTATGGGGACACTTTAAAACTTTTGAGTGCAGGTCTGGAGAGCTGGCGCTGTAAAGGCTCAAGCTCACAACTAAAACTTGAGTGCAAATAAAGCTGAGTGTGGTGATGTGTGCCGTTAATTGAAGCACTCAAGAAGAACCTGCAGCCACATCTCTGCGAGATTAAGCCCTGCCTAGACTACATAGCAAGTTCCAGGCCAATTGGGGCTACAGGGAGACCCTGTCTCACACAAAAAAAGTTTCTTCTGCCAGCAGTGGTGGTGCATGTCTCTAGTCCCAGCAGAGACAGGAGTTTCAGGGCAGCTGGGGCTACTGGGAAAAACCCAGAGTGTAGCTCACAAGATGAATGGATTCTGCTAGATGGCCCCATTGTCACACTAGAGTTAGATGAGAAGCTAAAGGTAAGACCTACCTGGTAGTAATTGATAGATGGCTTGATCCCAAATTTTAGGAGTACACTAAAATAAAAATTGTAAATTAGCTGCATTATGAAAGAATATTACAGTTTCTCGTTCTTTTCAAACATTGTATTTCACAGTGAAAATTAAGGTACTCTTAAAGGAGGGTTTTGGTTTTTTTTTTACTTTCAGCAATAAATATGTGAACAAATACAACAAACAAGCAGTTTCCAGTCCCTCCTTTTCTGGCCTTTTGCACATGCTATCCAAGTGGGCACTTTCCAGAACCTGAGGCTGCATTACAGTACTCCACACCACCGACCTGCAGGAGGACATCCTGATGGAGAGTCTCTAAACATAGTCAATTTGTCTATGTTAGTCTCTAGGCTCATCCTCAAGAATTGTGCTGGTCAAAGCTTTAAAGAATTTAAATGCCCATAGCATTTAAATCGGAACTTCTTGTCTGTTCATTCTCAAAACAAACAGGAAATACTGGAAGTACAAAGTAAAATCCCAGATCACCAACTCCAGACGATTTCTCTGTGGTTCCACCAAGACTTTCTGGATGATTTTGGACTGAACCCAGAGGGTGGAAGTGAAGCCTCCTCTCCGGGTGTTGATTTGCATCAGTCTGCAGCAGCACTTCTTGCCACAAGACACGAGCAAGGAAGAGGAAGCAAGAAAAGTCCCTAAAGCCCAGTGAATGGCCAAAACCCATGCAAGTGTGCCACTGCCTGCCCTGTGCCATTAGTGCATGATCAACACAGGTTCCAAAGACTTTGTGCCAAGAAAGTATAAAATATTCCAATTAAAAAAATATTTACTGGGGCTGAAGAGATGGCCCCACAGTTAAGCACTGGCTGTTCTTGCAGAGAACCCAGGTTCAGTTCCCAGCACCTACATGGTATCTAATAACCAGCCAAAACTCCAGTTTTAAGGGATCTAACGCCTTCTTCTGGCCTCTGCAGGCACTGCACAACATGGGTGTGTCCACTTATAGGAAAAATACTCATGAACAAAATAAAAATAAATCCAAATTTAAAAAAAAATATTAAGTTGTAACTACAAAACTTTCTATAATCTGGGCTAAATATATGATTACAATTTATGTTACCAGGCTTTTATTGCTACTTTTACTGAAATTACTGAAATATGTTGCTTAACACCTATGGTCATGTTCTGTCCTATTTGGCATGTTCTCCTGATGCAGGTGGCCCAGAAAATAAGGCACTTAGGAAAAGATGGGTGAAGTTGTATCATGTGAGGATAGTTGGGTGTTGCCCCATGTCTACACCTGCAAGTGCTCTGAGAACTGCCCTGCAGGACCCTCTGCACCTTCTCAGGCTGGCTGCCTTCATATCAGGAAGTGAGTAAGCATGAGTTATAGTTTCATCAGTTTTACATCTGATGAACAGACAGGAAGTTCCGATTTTGCTAGGAGAAATCATGAAGGGTAATAATTTTTCTGTAACTCTTTGTCATTCTGAGCAAGCACTACATGCCTGAGAATGCTCTCCACATAGCGGGTCTATGTGATCACTTGCTGAGCAACGAGGCAGATAGGTGGCTCTGGCCTCACAGCTGATGATTTACTGACAGTTCTACATGTGTCTATAACAAAAACTACTAAGTTTCAGAAGCTGCAAAGTAGCTACTTGGATGATTTAAAACTTAGCAAAATTCTTCTTACCCTATTTGGTTAAATGAAGCCTTGGTTGCAGGGTTAGCCTGCTACCAGTATGGCTACAAGGCTAGGCCCATTCTCAGCAGCAGCAACTTTATGTGTGCCTGTGCTGCAGGAGCACAGGATGGACCTTCTTGCGGTGACTCCTCGAGATGTCTCTGAAGTGCCCTGCACCTACACTCTGGGGGAGGACTGCCAACAGTCTTGTTCCTACTGCAGGAGAATATTGTTTGCTCTAAGAAAACCCCACAGGTTAGACCACATACACAAGTCAAGATGCTTAGGATCTGCTGCATGTCACTGATGTGTGACATGTAACTAGTGTATGTACTTAATAATGCAGAGTTAAGATAGGAGAAACTTCAGAATCTGGGGGCCAGCCATCCACTTTTTTCATATCAGAGAGAGAAGACCTAAAGAGGTTTTATAACAAACTGCAGAACTGATGTCAGAACAACATCACAGGGATGCACTTGAAACCCTGGGCTCTGCCAGCTGGTGGTTTTTAAAGGCATTCACAGGGCATTCTCTGAGGAAGCTCATCTCCCCAAAGGCACCAGCCCCTCCTGTTCTGCTGCTGGATCCATCAATTCAAACCCCAGCTGTTCTTGAACAAAACAACACAGAAGACCATCTGTGTGAAATGGTGGCACATCATCATGGACGCTCCCTGTGCCAAGGAGGCAGAGCATGTGTTTAGAGTGCCAATGGAGCTTTATTCATCTTTTAAGATTTGATTCATGTACCTTAAGTGTGGTTGATGAGCAAAGGATCTTGGGATTATTCTCATCTGAAGAACTGCCCTGATGAGAGCGAGCTGTACATATTACAAGCAGCAATGCAGACACTGTAAAACCTTTCTTTAAAATAATCAGCAGACATTTCTTTCTCATATATCTAGGGGCTAGAAAGTCTAGAATCAAAGTTCTAGCAGATTTGGTGTCTGGTGAAACCTCATTTCTCATAGTCTACGCTCCTGTGTCCTCAGATGGGGAAGGGGCAACCAGCTCTCTAGCTCTCCAGTCTGCTATAAGGAACTACTCTCACTCATGACAGCTCCACCTTCATGGTCTATCACCCCCCAAAGGCCTCACCTCCTCAAACTGCTCCTAGGGTATGAAGATTTCAGCCTACAAATTTCAGAGGCTATCTACACTCAGCCCATAGCAGGCAGGCCTCCAGTGCTGATGCCTTCCCTCCCCACTCTATCCTAGTTTGTTGGCTTATTATAGTCACTTACAATGAAGGACAATAAGAAACACTTAGGGGCAACAAGATGGGTCAGTGAGTAAAAGTGCTTGCCATGCAAGCCTAAAGACCTGAGGTCAATCCCCAGAACCCACAATAAATGTGAGATAGAACCAACTCTACCAAGTTGTCCTCTGACCTCCATGAATGTGCCATGGCAATTCTCCTTCAGATGAGAATAATCCCAAGATCCTTTGCTCATCAACCATATTTAAGGTACATGAACCAAATCTTAAAAGATGAATAAACCTCCATTGGTTCTCTAAACACATGCTCTGCCTCACACATGCATCATGTATATCACAAGCACACATACAATAATAAAAAATAAAATTGGACGTGGTGGCATCTATCTTTAATCCCAGCATTCAGGAGGCAAAGGCAGGCAGAGCTCTGTGAGTTCAAAGCTAGCTGGGGCTACAGGGAGACCCTGCCTCCAAAGACAAAAATAATTAAAACAATAAATAAGAAACAGTAAGTTGGCACCACAGAGGTTTCTAGATGGCAGGAGCCAGGGAGGCCAGAGCCTTTGTCAGCATGTTGCTCTACGTTCACAGGCTCTTGGACAATCAATTCTCCAGCTCCAGAACTGAGGCCAGGAAGGCAGTAAAAGTCCAAATGGGCTTGGCTCATTTCTAGGGCTTCAAAGACCCTTGCCTGTCACTTCCCATTTGTTCAAGGGGCATTACAACCAGATGCAAAGGCTTATTGGTGCTCAAGTGTGTCTAGGGAAACGAGAAGGCAGCCCCTTTATCAGTTAATGGCATGCCTGTTAGTCTTCATTTTCAGACTGATGACAAGTCAGCACCATCAGGCAGCCTAAGTCTGCATTCTGATTATGACACTCTGTGGTCATAATCTAGAAGAAGCACAAAGACTCAGCATGGGTTCAAGAACCTCCCAGGATGGAACACCATACCTCTTTCAGGCATCAGAACACATGAGTCTGATCATGGGCAGGGGTCTATACTCATTCCCAGTGATCTGGGGCACCAAGGCCAATGGCAGAAGACCCACAATGAGATGTGCACCTACCTGTTGAGGTCAAGCTGCTTGTAGAGATCCAGGCTCTTCCCGAAGTACTTCTTCTCAGAATTGAGAGCGTCTACCTGGGCAGCACAGGTGCCATGCTTCTCCCACTCATGCTTCCTGTGATGTAAGAACAATCAGATATGTCCACTGAGCACATCACTGCCTTCACAAAGCAGGAAGGTCAAAATTCCCTATTTGTAACACAGGCAACAACTCAGACCCCCGTGCTTAGATCAAAGCCCCAGTAATGTGCTGACCTCCAAAGAGCCTTCTCACGTTTTTCATGTTTCCCACCACAAATCACTTCCCGTTGTCTCTACAATCACTACTGCTCAACAGCAAATTAACAGAGGAAGAAAAAAAATGCCATTGTTCAGATACCTCAAATCACACAGGGATGCCTGGTCCCCTGTAGAGCCAGTGCCTAAACCAGGAAATTCAGAATTAACCCACGGAGGCAGAGTGACTAGTCACCATGAGCACCTTAGCCCATTCATGGTCAGCCTCAAATAATAACCACCATGCATACAGCCCTCTTCTGAAGCCTATAGTAATCAACAAGGGAGCTTGGCCAAGCACCTGCAATGAATAGCAATCATTGTATTCCAAAAAAAGAACACTATTGATGAGGATGAGAATTCCTTACAGTCAATGCAAATTAAAGTTTTTAAATTCTGGGAGGATTGGTTGGTTGGTTAGCTGAATGAGTTGCTTTTTTGAGGCAGGGTCTTACTGTATTACTCAGACTGGCCGACTCCCATCTTCCTACCTCAGCCTCCTGAATGCTAGGATTAAAGTTTTACAAAATGTTTGCGTTCTTCGCTGTTTTTCATAACTACTCTGCAAGAGAAAATATCACTGCTAGCTTATGAATGAGGAGTTTGAAGCTCTGAGAGACTAGGTGATTTGGTGATGGTTACACACCCAGGCTGCCCTAGAGTCTGCATTTGAACTTATTCCAAAGTCAGGACCCTTTTCATCCTAGGGTGCTGCCATCCAATCAGTTGCTAATTAGAATGTCCGCCCACCTTCATAATGTCTACAACTGTCAATTCAGTTACTACTGTTAAACAAGGTACCAGGTTTCTTTGGCTTTTGTTAGGGACTGATTAAATCTTAATACATATAACATCCATGCAACCATTTATAAAGCACATGTAGCCCTTAAAAAATATTGCCCAAATGCACACAATTCATTGGGGGAACTTTACTCATCATACCCATTCTAAGTAACTTGGATGTATAGAAGTTACAAGTTTCTCAGCCCTAACCAAGGGAATTTGAGCACAAGAAGGATCAAAGTAGATGGTGACTTGGTTTCTTCATCTAGTTTCCAGACTGAATTCCTTTTGAACTTTCTACATTTCATAAACAGAATTTTTTAAGCTGACTGCAGTGAATTCAGATAACTTAGTTTCCATAAAGCAGGAATAATTGGAACCTACCATATAGGGGTGGTGAGGGAATTGAATCAAGACACACAAAGCACTTCACATTTGCAAAAACAGTTCTTTTATAATAAATATGAACTACTAATGCCAGTAAATGTCAGCTATTTTTTTTGAGCAAATTTAGCCCAATGGATGCTACAGAAACATCAAAATGTTTTTGCTTTTTTTAAAACAAGATCTCATGCAGCCTAGGCCTGCTGGCCTGAACTCCAGATCCTTCTTCCTAAACCTCTCAAGTATTGGGATTACAGGAATATGCCATCATACGCAGCTAAAATACTTCAAGGTACCTAATCACAGATCACTAACTGGACATTTTCACTATTCCAAGTGTCAGTACCCTATCCACAGTGTCTCAGCATGCCACCCTCAATATTCAGCAATCCCTGACAGGCCTAGGCACTGAGAACAGAACAAGCATGCAGGTGCATGTCCTGGCATTACTCTCCCACCAATCTGTCCCCTCAGTGATGAGAGGCACCTACCTTTCTGGGGCTACTCAGGCCCAAAGACACAATCCATAAGAGGTTGCATGATCAAACTTGACATAACCCAAATCTGATTCTTCTTAAAAGAATCAGAAAGCAAGCCAAAGAATAATCCCTGTTTTGCAGGGGACAATGTACACAGAGTTTTCAAAATGACTCATCTTAGGAATTACCCTGAACACCAAGTAGTATCACTCTAAGGGATCAGTAGTTAGGAGCACTTATTCCTCTTGCAAAAGACCTGAGTTTAGTTCCCAGTACCCACATCAGGCAGCTCACAACTTCTTGTAACTCCAGTTTCAGGGGATCCAACCCCCTCTTCTGGCCTCCATAGGCTCCTGAACATAGGTGGCATATACACACACAAAATCAAAACAAAATCTTTATTTTAAAAAATCCACTGTATATTTGATTATTTGGGATTCGAGAAGTTGCCTAACACCCTCTCTCACCCTGGGAACTGTCAAGTCCCAAGAACTCTGAGGTAGCTAAAGGACACTCAGGTTGTAGACAAGAGAATGTGGCATCAAGCAGGTTCCAGGGCTACACAGTATAACAGGATTTCCAAAGTACAAACACTGATAAGTCATTCTTTCCTTTTCAAAAAAAAAGAGCTGAAGTCTGTGATTTTAATATCCATCTTTAAAATGAAGTCAAATGTTTCCCCTTACTAAAGCATAAAAATAAATGCATATTTTTAAATATGCTGTTTGGTTTAATGGTTCAAGGGCTCTATGTACAGAAGAAGGCATGCTTTATGCTGACATCAAGCCATTTGGCTAAAATCTGACTGCCTCTGCCACGAAACAATGCGCAACTGGAAAACTCTTTTTTCAAATAATTACTGCTTTGGCTCGAAGCTGGAGTGCCATGGCCCATGTGTTCATGACTTGGTCCTCCATCTATGTGTTACTGGGAAGGGATGTAATTTTTTTGTTGTTATCTTTTGGGTTTTTTTTTGGTTTTTTTTGTTTTTTGTCTTTTTGAGACAGGGTCGCCCTGTAGCCTGAGCTGTCCTGGAACTCTCTATATAGACCAGGCTGGCCTTGAACTCACAGAGCTCCACCTGCATCTGCCTCCCCAGTGCTGGGATTAAAGGCGTGCGCCACCACACCCAGCTAGGGATGGAATTTTAAAGGGTGCCTAAGCACACACAGAGACCCTCTCTCCACCTGTTTTCCTTTTTGCTCCCTTCCTGCTGTGAGCTGGGAAGCCTCCTCTGCAATGTTCGCCCACAATGTACTGTGCTACCAAAGGTCTAGACCAAATAGGATGAAGAAATCAGGGACAGAAACTTCTAAAATCATGAGCCAAATAAATCTTCCTCTGCTTTAGTTTGTTTTTTCCTGGGCCGTTTGTTACAGAAAGCTGACACGGACACCACAGACTCATCACTGCATGTACACTGTGAAGTACCATATAAAGGATTTTTCATTTTCCCTCATTCCAACTCATTATAGCAACTACCTAATTTGAAGCACTTTCCAGAATTTAGGCTATGGAAAACAAGTTCAAGGCTTGCATGGGCTACCCAGTGAGTTCAAGGCTAGCCTGAGCAACTTAGTGAGATGCTTTCTCAAAATCAAAAGGAAAGAACAGCTTAGTAGTAAACATCTAGCATGTGTGACAACCAGGGTTCAATGCCTTACGCCATTTATTACTCAAGTTTCCACTGAGTGGTTCTGTTTATCTAAGGGTGATTTCAACCTACAGATAAGTCTGTGAACCCTAAAACCACAAACTCTCAAGTGAGATGCTAAACTGAACACTATGATCCAGAAAGGGGACATCTCTAACAGTCCTTTGTTTTAAATAGCATTTTACTAAACTTAAGTTCTTATTTCCCTAAAAATTCTATACAAAGATATTTCTGGGTAAAATTAAGCTTTCTAGGAAAGTATTATTAGCTGTAATCTGAATTATAAGTTGTCATATTGAAAGCAAATATAGAAAAAAAACTACCTTCAGTTGAGCCAATCTTGTCTTTTTCCTTCAATTTTTTTTTTTTTTTTTAATGGGGCGTTTGGCTACTCTAACATTCCCCCTTCTGAAGAGGTAACCCTAAAATCCTTTAAGGATTAGATAAAAGCTCCCAAATATTTTCAACAGTTTTGGCCTTTGGAATGGAGTAGGTCGCTAAAGAGGCCCAAGGACATTGTCTTAGCCAAGAAACCGAGCCAATCTTATCTTCTTAAAAACAATGCTTTTCAAAACAATCTTGAGTTAATGCAGCTCTTCTGCCCCAGACTCAGCTTCCGCTGACCTCGAAGAAGACTGGCTTCACTGAGAATCTCACCTTTTCTCTACCCCAAGTCACTCTGAAATCACTATCTTTAGGCATGTTATTCTCTCTGACTCCCATTCTCTCTCTCCCATTCTCTCTCTGTTCTGGACTGAATTTTAAGCATGAAATCATTTGATTTAAACTTCAGTAGATAACTTTTTTAATGAAGTAATGAATGCAATAGTACATAGATTAGAAAACAAATTCATAAATTCCACCTGACCTCATTTTTAGCCCACTGGAGAGAGGCACTAAAAACAGCATTACAGAATCATAATCATTTCTAGACAAAGGGCAGCTCTCAGCCTCAGGAGATAGGACCTCCTGTCTGCTTTCTGTGCCTCACACAAGCTGCAGTTCAGAACACTTAGAAGCGCTCCACACATATTTAAAATGCACTATAGATGACAGAAACTCAGACTTACCAGAATTGGCTGCGATTAGAAGATGGGTGAATTACATCAGGCCAGTATATCTTCATATCCCGCAAAAGGTCCTATACATAATTTTTAAAAAGTTTAACCAGAACCTAACAAGCTCAAACCTACAGAGCAAATCTAACAAGCTAATATATTAAAAATAAAACCTGAGCTGACAATATTTAAGTAAGCAAAATGGTTCTGTGCTTATTCAGCAGGAAGTATTTCCCAAGACATGTAAAAGTTAAGTAGTCACACAGTGGCATGTGAAAATATAAGCACTTAGAAGGGAATGATAAAACCGTAGTAAGAAATGAACTTTCAGGAGCTGGAGAGATGGCTTAGAGGTTAAGAGCACTGGCAACTCTTCCTGGAGACCCAGTTTTGATTCCTAGCACAAACATGGCAGGTAACAACCATCTGTAACTCGAGTTCCAGGAGACCTGATGCCCTCTTCTGGCCTCCCTGGGCATTGCATGACACAGGTACACTTACATACATGCAGGCAAAACACTCATACACATAAAATAAAAATAAATTCCAAACAAAAAGAGAAAGAAATGAGCTCTCTTGCCCAGCTTGGTGGTGTACAACTTTAGTCCCAACACCTGGGAGGCAGCAGCAGGAGGATCTCTGTGAGTTCCAGGCCAACCTGGTTCACATACTAAGTTCCAGGCCAGCTGGGGCTAGAGGGAGACCCTTTCTCAAAAAAACAAATAACAACAAAAAAGGAAAAAAATTAAAAAAAATAAAAGACATATAAAACTACAACATAAGCTATAAATCCTAATGCAAACTATATACCGTAGTTACTGTGGTATCAGTATTGGCTCTTCAATTGTGAGAAATATGACATGCAGATAGACAATGTTAATGGTGGTACTCAGTGTGCACTTTGTATTCAATTTTTCTGTAAACCTAATACTCTAAAATCAATGGCTGTGAAACAGATACAAGTGCTTGTTTTCCAGAGCTTTCTGAGCAAGGCAGCCTGTACCCCCTTGCTCTGAAAGTTTGGGACACTGGATCCAACGGGGCTCAAGCTCATTTTTTAATTTCTATACATCCATCACACAAAAATGGAACTTCAATGAAAAGGAACATAGGTAAAGGTACGTATAAAGGGAAATTTGCTTTCTCCTTTTCCCCACTGTACCATAATCCTCCCCTTCAACTCGCCAGTAACCAGCTTCCCTGTCCTAAGTAAACAGTCCTGCCACCTCCTTCCAGAGCTGTCTGCCCTACTTGTCACTTCCATACGCCTTCCTCACCTGCCAGCCCAAGTCTGGCTTCAGCCCCACCAGCCCTCTGGGGACGACCTAGGATGATGATGTAACATGCTGTCAAACTAGGCCATGTTCCTTTCAGACAGAGGTTAAGTTGAGCATTAATGCTACACAAGTAAATCAGGCCTTTCTGAAAGAGCAGCAGTTATGACATCACTACTAAGGACCCAAAAGTCCCTCTAAGCAAAAGGCACTGCAGCCTTCCTTTTCTGGACCCTCCCTCCCCAGGATATCTAACCTACTGAACTTTCTTCAACCTCCCCTTCTCCTGGCACCATTTTTACAGGTCCTTTTCCTATCTTGCCTTTAAATGCTGGGCTCAAGCTTTGTACAGTGATAGTATCATGGCCAATGAGGATTAGCTGAGGTGCAGTTCTTGCTAACTGAAAATCCCTCCCAATATTCAGCATGACAACATGCAATGCAGTCAGCAGCAGCAATGTTTGACAGTCTCTAAGGAGACTGAATAATCTTGGTTTTAAGAAAATCTCCTTTTGGGGGACAGGGAGGTTTGAGGGTGTCCCTGTAGACCCAGCTGTCCTGGAACTCACTATGTAGACCAGGCTGGCCTTGATCTCATAGAAATCTGCCTGCCTCTACCTCCCAAGTGCTGGGATTAAAGGCCTATACCACCATGCCTAGCTAAGAAAAAGGTACTTTTAATAAGTTTAGTCAGTTACTATTGAGTTTGGTTTCACTGTCCATTTTTATCTCAACATCTGCTTCCTGGACAACCTGGCCTGATACAGAGTGACTTGGCATCTGGCCTGAGAAACAAGCGAAGCTTGACCTTGTCTGTGCAGAGATTTTTGTATACAACTAGCAAACTGTCATCACCTCAACATGTGGGATACACTGGTGATAGAACAATAAATACTGCAATGATAATTTAGATAACAGCTATAGTATGTATATATTCAGACACTCAGTAAACAAATTATTTTTATTACTCAACAACAAAATATTGGGTTCTTCAACACTCACCTGTCAGGCCTGCCACGTCCTCTACCCTACTCCAGTTACCCTGACATAAGATTATACACAGGAATTGTTGGTAGGAATGATGCGTGGGAGTACGTTTAGTATTCCATGTGAATCAGGAAAATCTCAAGAGTACTTCTGCTAAAATCTCTTGTAAGCTTATGACTTTCCTGACATAGGAGCCCATCATTTACTCTGTAACAGCTTTTGTACTAGAAAGACCCACCATTTTCTCCTTGGTCAGAGTTCCCACTTGGAAACTCACCACCTATGGCCAGAATGGCCATCTTTGGGTATTATGTGCCACAGCTGTCTAGAGATGTTCCACCCTCTATCACATAGACCAGATGCCCACTTTCATTCACTGACCCAGAAGCCCCTGGAAATGGAGACTAGCTGGGGCTGGCATAGCCAGCACAGGCCCTGCTCCCACTTGAGCTTGCTTCTGACAGCTCACTTACGCAGTGCTTGGGCTCAGGGTAAAAGAAGAGAAAGGTCAATTTTTATTAAATTTATTGGGTAGTTTTCAATAGTGGTAATTACTAAAACAGACTCAGGCTCAGCCCTAGTGAATTCATTCTTGACCCTGTAATTTTAAGCATGGCTTTGAAGGTACATTTGAAGAAGAGAGTTCATAAAGTTCAACAATCAATTGCAGAAGTATAATTAAAAGTTAATACCTTAATCTCGTCTAAATTAAAGTGCCACGATCGGTTACATTCTTCTGCTCTATCAGGCCTTGAAATCCAAATTTAGAAAATATTAGTCTTGGTTCAGATGACTTTTCTAGGATATTAGAAAGTACTTTCATTAAAGTCTTCACAGAAATAAAAAAAAAAAAGCTCAAATCAAGAATCCCTTGTCCTAAGAGAGGGAGAATCATTACCTATCCCAAGTGGGCAGCCCTAAACACAGGTGCCCATGAATTGAGCAGCACTAAATGGACCCAGTGCACTTAAATGCATACACGCATGTACGTGTAACAATAACAAAAGAAGAGGACAAGAAGCTGAGAGGGAGTAGGGGACATGGGATGAGTTGGTGGTGGTGGACTGGAAGGGATGGAAATAATGCAGACTGTACTCATGCGTGAAATTCTCAAAAGTAAAAAAAATTAAAAAAGAATTCCCTATCCCACGCAAGCCTTTCAACAAGGAATGCGGCAATGCAAGTGGTCAGTCTGGTTTTCTTTTGAAGGAGAAACAAATGGAGCTAAACCAGTCCAGGAATCATATAGGCTAGCTTCTCAGCAGAGGAAGCACGGCAGAGCTCTGGAGGGGTCCAACCTCAGCTCTTTCCTAGCAGGGGATCCTAAGGTGTCTGGCTTGGGTTATGTCCACTCTAAAGGCACCAAATTAATGTCCACGTATGCAGAAGGAATCAACTAAAGGGGTGCAGACAAACCTGGGGCTTGGGGAGGAGGGTGCTTACAAGCAGTAGGAAATGGAGTCCTTGTCTATTTGTCTACCTTTTTACTTTTATCTATTTATTTATAGTGGGCCCCAAGGATAAAACAAGAAGCTAGTCAAGTTCCTTATATATTCAAACTAGATTGTTATTAGTCTATCACAAGAGAAGTAAACAGGGCCAGGTGTGGTGGAGCACACCATATCAGGCATGGTGGCAATTTCAGCACTCAGGAGGCAAAGGAAGACAGATCTCTGTGAGATGGAGCCCAGCATGGTCGACATAGTGAGTTCCAGGCCAGCTGGGGCTACAGGGAGACCCTGTAATAACAGAATTATGGTGATATTATAAAAACTAAAAATATCTTTAAAAGAATCTGTCTACTGAATAAACTCATAACAAGTCTGGGGGCTGGAGAGATGGCTCAATGGTCAAGAGCACTGATGGTTCTTGCAGAGGACCCGGGTTCAATTCCCAGCACCCACATGGTGTCTAACAACTGTCCCTAGCTCCAGTTCAGGGATCCAACACTTTCTTCTGACCTCCATGGGCATTGCATGACATGGGTATACGTACACATATGAGACAACATGCTCATAAACATAAATTTTTAAAAAAGAGTAACACGTCCAATTATAGTGACTGGATTCAAGCTAGCTTTTCCTGTTTCATTAGGTTTTACTACGTTAGATGCTTACCATAGTCCATGTATTGTCCAGTAATCAAGAGTGTCTCGACAGCTATCAACCTCCTAGAGAGAAAAGACATAAGAAAGATAGTCAACTGTTTAAACATTTAGCAATTCCATTTTCTTTCAATATGCATCAAAGCAGAAAGCAGACAGATGTGATCACTAATGCAAGGTAAATTCAATGTTGACAAGTAGTAAGTTTATTCTCATAACATGATCATGAGGCAGCATCAGGGCTGGGTGCTAGGTCAGTCCTCAGCACACAACTGAGCTGACAGAAAGCATCAAGTTTGCTCTTTTCATGTGCTCACAAACATGGAGACTCACATTCACCCATGATTATCTGCTTACCATATAATCAGAATGACATGTGAAAGTCCCAATACCCTGCTGCACTGAAGCCACTCTAGATCCAGAACACCTAAGTGAAGTGGGAAGTACTAAACCTGAAGCCAACAAGTGTAAGAGTGAAAATCTGATTATAACCTTGACTTTTATTGAGAAGATAAAATCAGAGATGAAAATCTCAGTAAAATAAAAACTTTTTAGGGCTCTCCAAATGATTTAGTTTCCACAATAAACAAGAGATATACTTGGGTCCGTTACTACTGACAGGCATCATGTTCCATCCTGCCCAGACGCCTCCAGCCTACAGCTGATCTAAAGAGACTGCCCAGTTCTAGTGCCTGAAACATCTGGTGAGAACTGCCTGCCACTGGAAGACTGGTGTGACAGGCCATAAACACCTCAAGCCATCCCAAGTCCTTCCTTAAAGAAACCTCATTCTCCATGGGTACAAGGCTCATGAAGTGCCAAGCCAGAGCTGAGGTCTTTGCTGAGCTCCACATCCAGGCCTCTGCACCTGCTTTCAGGAAGGTGACCTGGGCAGGAGGTAGCCTTCTTCCTCAGACAGCAAACACTCAGGTCTCTTGGTGTCTCTGAAGGTGATACCCTGGAGACATGACAGACGTGTCCCAGCACAGTTCTTATTTCTATGTCAGGAGAAGGTGGCCAGAGACAGCCCTGCTGCCAGGGATGGGCACAATGGATCAAGAGTTTCCTCATCATGGGCACCACCCTGTTTGAAATAAATTGCCCAACAATGACATTTTGATAGTAACTGATTTTTTAAAAATTGAATTTCTAAAGCCTTAAGGCAGGAAAGCACTTTTCATGCCTAGTCACTTTGCCAAAGGACACACCCAGATTTGTCAGACAGGCCAGACCAGGTTGAGTCTGGGTCTTGAAGGCAGTTCCTGTAGAGCTGGCATCAACCACTGCTTTCCCACCATGTGGATCCTGCAACAGGACTCAAGGCCTTCAGCAATCCCCGTACTGAGAAGAGCTGAGGTCCCTGCCACCTAAATTTCATGTCCTGTCACTCCATCTCACATCTTCTCACTCCCCCATCAGAGCCAGAAAACAGCTCCAGGAGAAAACCCTCTGAATGTTTGGGAAAGAAGACCGGAGCAGTGCAATATAGTAAGGAGACTGTCACACTGAGCTTCCAGGTCAAGAGAGTGATTCAGTAACTGTAACAAATGAAATGTCATGTCAACAGAAATTAAACAAGTGAGGAGGTGGAAAAGAATGTCCCACCACTCAGTACTCAATGGGACAGACAAAAGGCAGGAGTGGCCCAGCCTGGTAGGAAACTACCAAACTACACTGCAGCTGCTGGCTACTTCTATCTTGCATAGTAAGAGGCCTGAAATTTTAGAGTTTTTTTCCATTTATTTTTATTTTAATTGTGTGGATATGTACGGGGGGTTATGTGTACATTGAGTGCAGGTGCCTACAGAAGTCAGAGGTGTTGGATCCCCCAGGAGCTGAATTTACAGGCAGTACTGAGCTCCCCTCTCCATCCTTGTGTGGTTGCTGGGAATTGAACTTGGGTCCTCTGGAAGAGCAACAAGTACTCTTTAACCACTGAGCCATCTCTCCAGCCTGTGGGCCTCAAATTTTAAACTCAAGACATATTTTCAGAAGCACATAAATAAAACTAGTACCCATTTAGCAGTATAAAATACTTTAGGTTTCATACAACAAATCCCAGGATTGGCTTTGTAAACCACCCATGAGGATGAGCCAGAGCAGGGCCCCCCAGCTGGCAGCACTCCAACCAAAGAGCCTCAGCACTGACACCCTAAAGGGACACAAGGAATAAAGCAAGACATTAGCATGGACCGAGGTATCAGCCTCGAAGGAGAAGGGTGTCATGGGTATCAAGCGGAACAGATGTGATGGAGGCAACTCTTCCACTCAGGAGAACATTTGAACAAGACCTTCAATAACATGGAGGGAGGAGCCTTCAAGCCTGCTGTGGGTGAACTATATCCCCTAAAACATATACCGCTGTCCCTAACTGCCTACCTGTGAACATAAGCTCATTTAGAAATAGGGTCTTCATAGACTACAAGGTAAAATTATGCCCTACTAGATCAGAGATGGCCCTAATTCCAATCAGTGATGTCCAGTGAGATAGAGATACCATGTGTAGAAAGCAAGCATTGGGGTGGTACATCCATAAGCCTAGGACACCAAGGACTATCCCCTCTAGTAGGAGCAGAACAAGAGGTTGGAACAACACTCTGTCAGAGCCCTCCTGGGGGAACCATTCCTACTGACACCTTGGCTTCAGGCTTCCAGTTCCAGGACTGAGAGAACACATTCCCAATGTTCTAAGCCCACCTTATGACTCTTACAGTGGTCCTCGGAAACTAACACACCTGGCCCTCCTCAGCAACAGTCACCTGCAAGGAGGTCCAGCTAGTCCAGATTCCACCACAGGGTAGGATGAGGCAGCTGGAGGCTCTTAGTACACAGTGGGACACAAGGTGGGCACTCATGCATTCAAACCAGTTCATAGAGGTTCACTGGATAAGAAGGACCAGCAGAGCTGGGTGTGGTGGCGCACGCCTTTGATCCAAAGCAAAGGCAGGTGGATCTCTGTGAGTTCAAGGCCAGCCTGGTCTACATAGTGAGTTCCAGGACAGCTACAGCTACAGGAGGACCCCGTCTCAAAAAAGACCAAAAAATAAAATAAAAAGGACCAGCAGAAGCAGAACTCACCTTGCACACTGTTGGAGGCCAGTGCTGGGTCAAAATCAGTTTTCTCCACTCATGGCTGCTGCTGTTAAAAGACAAATGTTTTAAAATGACAGAAAACATCCCTCCATTCGGTCTCTCAACATGGAGTCTCTATGGAACCAGGGATACTGTTGGGAAAAGACAAAGTCCCCACCTCCTAAAGTCACACTTCAGAGAATGATGAACACTATAGGAACATGTATACCATGGCACACAACTGGCAGCAGTGAAGGCTAGAAACACAAACCTAAGAGGACAGGGTGCATCCAAGAAGGGCCTACTGACGGAGCTTGACAGCACGTCACCTTCCTCCACCCTTCAAGTTGTTTAAGAATATAGGTTCATGATCCCTAAGTTGCCTTTGTGAACCCCTAAGTCCCTGAAAACTGGCCATTTTTTCCCCCTAACTCACATGGCAAAGGCAGGTTCTTAGAAGGCCTCTGATGTACAAAGGGCTCAAATTACAAAGTATGGCTGAAAAATGTGCTCCATGGCTGGAAGCAGAACTAATTCAGAAGAAACCAGAAGGATTCTATGTGGAATTATCCTGAGCACTGCTGACTACATGCAGAATCCACAACTAAGATGACAGGAAAACTCAGCTTTAAGTTTGAACTAATGATACAAGCTTTCTCTACAAAAGGGAAGAAATGCATTGTGAGAACTGAACTGAAGTGTTAGAAGTCTGACCACTGTGGAGCAGCTTTATTGACAAAGGTGCAGCATCTGGGAGGTTAACCCGTCCAGGAAGATAAGGACAGCACGTTTACAATAAAACTCAACACTACTGTCAAGACAGAACACCTGCAACTCAGACAAAAGAGATGTGCCTATGCCTGCAAGAAACCAGAGCCCCAGTACTCAGCCCCAGTGCTCAGGGAGGAAGCCCTGGAAAGCTAGCCTCTCTGAGACAGGGGTCCACCAGGCCCAGACAGTGCAGGAAATGCCCCGGGACCTAACCACCCCCAAGCCTAACCCTAACCCCAGCTTCACATAAAGGAAAACCACAGTGCAGCCTGAGACCCTAGTCACTGGTCACTACCTCCCAGCAGGCTCTGGTCTGAGCACTGGAGTAGCCCTCAGCTGCCCAAACCAGGTCACACTAGTTCAATGAGCACTACACCACTCCCATATAGGGAGCAGCTCAGCACTCACCCCGCACACCGCGCACACCGCACACACCCCACACACAGACACCACATACACACACCACACACACACCCCACACACCGACGCCACACACACACCCCACACACAGACGCCACACACACACCCCACACACAGACACCACACACACACCCCACACACAGACGCCACATACACACCCCACACACAGACGCCACATACACACCCCACATACAGACACCACATACACATACCACACACAGACGCCACATACACACCCCACATACACACGCCACATACACACCCCACACACAGACGCCACACACCACACAGACACCACACCACACATACAACACATACACAGCATATACACCACTCTACACCTAATGTACACACAACACACCACATACCCGCATTCACACACTACACCACACGCGCGCGCACACAGCCCTCGAACTACACAACACACGCGCACGCACACAGCCCTCGAACCTCCGCGCACAGGAAGCGGACGCCCGTGACGTCGGGACCCAGGAGCGCCGCGTCCCTAGCCAACGGCGGGGTGAGCTCCGGGTCTGCGGACCCGCCGTCCCGCACAACACCCACGCCCGCCACCAGAGCGTCCCGGGGCCGCCGGAAGGAGCCGAGGGGAGCCAGGGCCGACAGGACGCGGGCCCGAAGAGCCGTCGAGGAAGACCCGTGCCCTCCCCGCGGGCTCCGCCACGCTCACCTCCACAGCGGGCCCGCGCCGCCCAGGCAGCACAGCGTCAGGCCGCAGCCCAGCACCGCCACCCAGGCCGGGAGCGCGCCTTCCGCCACCGGGGGCGCCATGGCTCGGACCAGGCCCAGGCTCCCGGCGGCCTCCTCCTCTACACCGCACCTACGACTCCTCAGCCGTCTGCGAAGCGCGTGTCCGCAGCCCGCAGAGCTTCCCGAGTGCACAGCGCGGGGCCAGTAACCCCCGAAGCCACGCCCAGTACCCGGGACCGCCCGGCCTCAGGGCCTCAGGCTCCTGACGGACACGCCCCCACAGCCCTAATTCCGGCCTCTTGACGGACACGCCCCCACGGTCCAGGTTCCGGCCTCCTGACGGACACGCCCCCACAGCCCTAATTCCGGCCTCCTGACGGACACGCCCCCACGCCCGGCTCCTGACAGACACGCCCCCACGCCCGGCTCCTGACGGACACGCCCCCACGCCCGGCTCCTGACGGACACGCCCCCCACGCCAGGCTCCTGACGGACACGCCCCCACGCCCGACTCCTGACGGACACGCCCCCACACCCAGAGCCCCGCCCCTCCGCTAGGCCCTCCGTCCCGCCTCGGCTCCGTCCCCGTCTCGGCTCAGTCCACCTGTCGCACTTGGGAGCCCGGCGCACCCGAGCTAGTCGCGAGGAGCAGGCAGCTGAGACCTTCCCAGGCCTGTGGGACCGACTTAACACTACGTGAGACGCCACCTATCGGTGCTTGACCCTCCGCTGCCCGGGTCGCAGCGTCAGTCGGCTGGACGCACTTTCCAGCCCTGACCGTGCAGATCACACCCCGCCGCTCTGCCCTCTGCCTTCTCTACCCTGAATAAAAACGCCCGGGGGCTTGGGAGGTGGCTCGGCGGTTAGGAGCACTGGCTGCTCTTGGAGAGCACCCGGGTTCGATTCCCAGCACCCACGCGGCTAACAGCAGTCCATTACTCCAGTTCCAGGGGATCCTAGGTCCTCCTCTGACCTCCATGGGCATTGCATGACATGGGTGCACTTAACATACATGTAGGCAATACGCTCATGCTCATAAAATAATAAAAATAACTGTTTTTTTTAATGCCGCCCAGAACCTCACTTCTTCAACCACAGTCCTGTCTGTTTAGCGGTCTCAGAGGTCTGCTTCGACCCGGACCAAACAAAACCCAAATCTGAACTTCCTCAGGAGGGGTGTGATGGGAGGGGTACAGGGGGATTGGTCACGGTCTGAACGGCACGTGGGAGCTCCTAGCTCAGCAGAGCCCTTCTGCAGAGGCACAGGCAGAGCACGCGGGACCGGAGTGCGGCCCCGCCGGGCAACAGACCCGAGAAACTCCGCCGGGGACCAGCCTCCTCCCAGAGAAGGCGAGCTGCCGCTCTTCAGCTGGGTGGGGACAGCTGCGTGTCCGGGTACCAAGTGTGTCGTGTCCTGGGTCAGGGTGTGCGGGTAGTTTACCTCTTGGTGGGCCAGTCCTGGAGCAGGAATTCGAAGGCCAGGCCGGGGTCTGGCCTGGTCCTGCCTCTTATCTGCGTGGTGTGGGGAAGGGGTAACTTGGAGTAAGCCATTTTCCAGAACCCAAAGAGTAAGGGGGTTTGTTTTTTAACCTTTGCCGGCGTCTAGGATCTGAAGAGCAGATAAAATTCAGCATCGTCACCAGTCTGATGGAGCCACCCAGTGACTTCCTGTTCCATGACCTTTATTCTTCTGACCGTGAAGAGGATGGGGACCCTCCACCCTTGCTTGCACCGGTGTGTTCAATACCCTATACGCCATCCTGTATTCATTTTACATGCTTTATTATTTTCATTTTAGTGTATGAGTGTATTACCTGCATGTGTGTTAGTGCACCTGTGTCCTCCAGTGCAGGAGGAGATTAGAAGTGGTCAGATCCCCTGGAACTGGAGCTACAGACAGTTGTTAGCTGCCGTGTGGGTGCCGGGAATCAAACCCGGGTGCTCTGCAAGAGTAGCCAGTGCTTTTAACTACTGAGCTGTCTCTCCATCCCTTAGTTTTACATTTGTATTGTCATTGTTTTTATTCGTTGTTTGTTTGTTTGAGACGGGCTCTCACTATGTAACCCTGGCTGGCCTGGAACTCACTATGTCGACCAGAGATCCGCCCACCTCTACTAAAATTCAAGGGATTAAAGGTATGTACCTGCACCACCATGCCTGGCTCATGCCTGTTTCTAAAGAGGAGCTTCCAAATTATACAAGCTCTCAACTTCTGAAAACCTGGATGTGAACCTGGGACACTTATCTAGTAAGATCCTTAACAGCAGTGTGGAGAAGCATTTATGTGATCAAAAAGAGAGAGAGGGACACAGCCACCTCACCAGGAGCCAGGATCAGGGAGATGAGCAAGCACTAGGGGGTGATTATTTGGCTCCCACAACACAGTATAAGGGGACAAATGATGAGGTTTAGGAGATGGAGTCCAGTGTGTAGCAGCGGGTCTTGGGAGGGGGTGAGTGGCAGCATCTCTATGACCTCAGTGTTTAGATCTGTTTAGACCCCAGAGCTCAAGATGCGTTCCTGGCATGACCTCCTGGTGCCCTCTTGGATTTAATGCCCTTATTCTGATTTTAAACAGCCCCAGCTCTGTGGCTTATATCAATATAGCACCTTATCTTTGTGGGTGCAGCTGTGGCTTTTTATGCTGGACCAGGCTGAAAAACAGCCCCTTTGATGGCAGCGCCACTCAATGGCCCCAGCACGTCAGCTCTCTTTAATGGAGCCATCATAGTCAGAACAAGTAAGATGTCCAGGCCTGACGTCAGTGGAATGGGGTAGGTACCCATCCTGCGTGGGGGGCACTGTCTTCACCTGATAATGTAGTCTGTAGCTACGGAGGAAGAAATAGGAACTTTAAAACAAACAATGCTAAGCCAAGGATAGGAAGTAGATATGAGCTACCATATGTTATACAGGAAAGCTCTGTCCTGTGTGGCCCCAGCCCTAGAAGTGCCACCATGCAGTCCCCTCCAGGACAGTCAGGATTGAGTGACTGGAGGTATCGGACTAGCACAGACCTGTCTTGAGAGTCACCATGATGGGCAGGAATGTGTCAGATGCCAACAAACAATTAGCTGAGCACTGTAGAGCAGTCAAAGGCACTGAGTGTCAGAAAACAAAGTTTTAGAACAGTGAATTCCTGGATGTCTGGGTGCTCTCAAGAAAGCAGGTCCTGGGAATGTGAGGACTGCGGCCAGCCAGAACCCGGAAGGGAGCCTGCCCAGCCTCAATAGAATGTCTTGGTGACTAAAAGGGAAAGTGTTCAGAAAGGTTTCAGAGTTGTTCTCAGTGCCCAGACAAGCCCATGGTTGCTTTTATCTCCTGGGACAGAGGCTGAGGGCCTAAAGCTGGAAAGGGAAATCTGCCCTGGACTTGACAGTAGCTTTATCACACTCTGGGCACGCTCACCATGGAAACTCCTTTTCAGTCTGCTCGTTCCCTGACAAAGGCCCCTCCTGGTGGTACCAAGGTTTCTGGCCTTGCCATGTCAGCTAGCTTCTATGGGACACATTTTATAGCGTTTTTAAATTCTGAGCTATATCTGTGACAAAACAGGGATGGGAAAAAAGGAAAAACCATGTCAGGTGTTTCTTGCTGTATAATTTTTCTTGAAGATGTCTCTTAGATAACTGGAAGCATGGGGAAGAAATAGGGTAAATCAAACCAAACAGCACAATATTCTGAAATGTGAAACAAAGCAATGTAGTTTCTTTATTCGATGTCGTTTTGTTTCCCAAGACCAAAAAGTCACCTACAAAATTTTACCCTTAAAGTCTATTATATATATATATATTTCTGACTCTTATTACAAAAGGATATTTACTCTGGGAAAAAACAAGAAATGAGCTTACTCATACATATCCACGTGTATAGACACCCACATAACTTATAAATACTCCTTCATGGGTATTAGGAAAGCTGTTTACTTGCACTTTTTAAACATCTTGAAAAAACTAGGCTCTCCACTGCAGACTCACCATGAATGGGGGCAGGAGCTCTGCAGAGCTTCTACTTGCCGCCTTCTCTGTTTGGGGACCCTCCCTGAAAAAACTGGCCAACAGGCTATAAGGAAGTGCAAATGACCTGAACCAAGATCCCACAGAAAGAGCCTGGAAGGGACCTGATTCCCGCACCCAGCCTTTGACACTTCAGCTGTGCTGCAGTTTAAATGTTTGCCCTGTCAGAAACTCAGTGAAAGTTAATCCTCCCTGTCAAGTGTTCAGAAGATGGGTACTGAATCCAACCTTGGATTGTCGAGGTGGGCCTGTGGGAGGTAATTAAGACTGAATAAGGTCATAGGCAGACTGCTCGTGATTGACTATCTGGGGCGGGGGGGATTAAGAGAGATTAGATGATGTGTACACAGGATGGTCCCTGTCTCTACCATGTTAACTGTGTCACCTTGGGATGCTGTCAGCAAGAAAGCCATCTATCACCAGAGCCAGCAGCACTGTGTAGACTTTCAGCCTCCAAGATTGGGAGCTAAGGAAACCCCCTTCTTAGCTTGCCTTCCTTGTAGTATTGTGTTTTTAACAACAGAAACAAGATAAGCTGAGACCTGGACTTTACAAGCCATGAAGTCACCCCTGATAGTAGCTTTCTGTCACTGTGACAAAATACCTGAAGGGAATTATTAAAAGGAGGAAAGGTATTTTGATTCAGGGTTTCAAATGTCGCAGTCCAGGGTCATGTGGCTCTGCTGTTTCTGTGGTGAGGCAGAGCATCTTGGTGGAAGGGCACAGTGGATCAGAGCTCTCCTCAAGTAAGCTTTACCAACTAGATTGTCATCACCGCGTCAATTAGAAAGCCCTCAGTGGATAATCCACTGATGAGATCAGATCCCTCAGGATCCGATCACTTCCCCAAAGCCAATTAACTGGCAACCACGCCTTTCACACAAGCCTTTCACACTGGGGGGAACATTTTAGGACCAAACTATAACCTCCCTGACATAGTATCATTGGTGGTTGGGCTCTGGTCTGGGTATTTTCAGGCTCTTGGCCTGAAATTCTAAGAATTGAAACGAAGGCTCATACAGATTGTATGTAAGGAGATTGTATTCGTGGCAAACGGAAGGTACTCAAGAGCCCCAGTTACTGTTTGGGGTTCAAGAGAAATAGGAGTGAGTTTACTAAGAAGCTTATTGCAGGTGGTTCTCTGTTTTGATTGACAGGCTTTTAAATTTGTAACTTTTCCTCTACTGTACATGTCCCTTCCCATAATGCATCTGATTTTGATTATATGCATATCCAATTACGCATAAGCAAAAGATGGTAAATAGGGGATTTTCCCTAAAAGTTCACTTTAAAGACACAGTTTGCCTCATTGTGTTGTGCATGCACCCCAAACTAGCCTAGACTGGATCAGCCCTCCCACCTTCATACCTGACATAACTGAAATATAGTTGAATAGAATCTAAGTTTGATGGTTGTCAATGCCTTGTCTAAATTGGTGCCCCACAGAATGTGTGAGCTTGATCAGTGCTTGTTCTGCTGCTAAGCTTGGAGGGCAACTTGTTAGGGCAACTTGTTTGGTAACTGGAACAAGTGGTTGTCAATGGACAGGCAGAGGGACAGACAAAAGGGAGGGAACGGAAGCCAGATTTCTTTTGCCTGTGATTATTTTGTAGATCTGATTTTGGCACAGTGTATATGTTCCTTATAATTATGAGACGAAGTTTGATTCTTAAAATGGGAACCCCTAATAACAAAAAAACAAAGTAGAAGGAATCTATGGAATTCAGGAATGAATGTGTTGCTTAACCACAGAAAGGATTATTTCAAGTAACTTTAAAGCACAGTCTTTGGCTGCATTTCCTAGCAAAGAAATCATAAACTGTTTTCAGTTTCCATCTTGTTAATAATCACATAGTACTGTTATTGTGAAGCTGAATAAATAAGCAAATAAGTAATGGTATTAATGGGGGAGAGGTTTTCAATATGAAAGAATGGCAGTAAAAGAACAAAGTAGGGCCAGTGAGATGCTCATCAGGAAAGGCACCTGCTGGCAAGCCTGGTGACCTGAGTTTGATCTGCAAAACACACATGGTAGAAGAGGAAAGCTGACTCCCTGACGTTCTTCTCTGACCTCTACCCGAGGCCAAGGCACCCACACGCATCTGCACACACACATACAAAGTGAACAAAAGTAAAAACTTTAAAAATATTTTATTTATTACTTTTATTTTATGTGTATGAATGTAACGCCTGCCGGTATGTAGATGTACCCGTGTCGTGCAATGCCTGTGAAGTCAGAAGACGGCGTTGGATCCCCTGGAACTGGAGTTATGGATGGACCCGCCATGAGGGTGCTGAGAATTGAATCCAGCTACTCTGTAAGAGCCACCAGTGCTCTTTAACCACTGAGCCATCTCTCCACCCCCACGTAAAAACTTTTTAATTAAAAATTTTAATTAAAATTAAGTAATAAAGGAACCAAAATTAAGTAAAGGCTGGGTAACAATGAGAACCCAAGACTGTGAGTGTCCCTGGGACATCTGACTACACAGCTTCACTAAAACTTCCAGGTGCAGAGGAGGGAACACGGCACAGGTGTGGGACCGACCAGCTGTGATCTGAGGGTTACAGCCCAGAACACTGCAGGCCAAGGCGGAACCTGGAAGCCAACTTCAAGTGGCTCCTAAAGGCAGAATGCGGTGATTTCTGAGCATAAAAAGAATAATGAGCCGGGCTTGGTGGCACAGGCCTTTAATTGCAGCACTCAGGAGGAACAAGCAGACAGATCTCTGTGAGTCTGAGACCAGCCTCTTCTACATAGTGTGTTCCAGCTGGGACTACAGGGAGACACTGCTTCAAAACAAAACAAACATAGCAGCAACAAAAAGAATAATGCCTGCGGTGGGTAGAAAGATTCCCATGTTAAAATACAGCATGCAGAATAATCCAAAAAGAAACGTCTTCATTGGTCGCCCTTGGGGCACACAGGAATGGCTCTGAATTCTGAAAAATGTGTGGGCTGAGCAAAAATGTATTAACCACACCTCAGATTAGTCAAGTAACCTTCAGCCACCCATGAGGGTCACAGGAAAAGAAGCACCTGGGAGAGGAGGGGGTCCCCTCCCCATGGGACACAGCAGGAGACACTGCAACAGTGCCCCACCCCCCTTGAGACATTGCACAATGCCCCACTCCCTTGGAACACAGCACAGTGCCCCCGCCCCCATAGGACACAGCAGATACCACAACTCTTTTAGCCTCAAGTTCCACAGCTGTTGCTACTCCAAGTTCGTTCTGGTGCAAGAAACTCTGGTTCTTGGGCATTTGGTATTTAGGGACCACAGCCTGGACCAAGGAGGGCTTCTTGCCATGAGGCTCGTCAGTTTCTAACTGCTCAGGACACAGACCAAGGAGATAGGTTATGTTGGGTTTTGTTTTAAAGAAAATGCTTCATGAATTCACAGTGACATTTGGAAATGAAGCTTAGGATGAAAGACTTTCTGATTTTGGGTCTTTGTTTTTATATGCCTTTTCATTTCCCTTTAATCTCTTACAAGCTTTGGCCACAGATTAACAAGGGGATTTTATTTTGTCTAAATGGTACCCTGCTCCTTCTTCAAAACATAACTAGTCATTAAAGCAATTTTCCATGGTCCCTGGGGCAGACTCTGTTTAGGAAAACTGGTTAAACCATAGAATAGTCTCCCTGGACCAGATTGAGGTGGTGACTCACAGCTGGTCTTCACTAATTTAAAGCCAACATGAATCCATCATAATTTGCTTTCATCAGTGCCTTAGAAGCCTGGCAGGGGTGGGGGCCACTTGGTGCATCATTAATATAATACTAACCTTCTTACATGGCTGTTAAGACAGACATCAAAAAGAGGCATCATGGGGGAAGGGGTGAAAGTGGTTGCTGGGGAGAAGGAAGGCTACGCCACACCACCAGCATCAGTTACAGAATACAGTGTAGAAACACGCCAAGAAGCAGTCAGTCATACACACAGGCTTGGGACACTGGAAACCTGCTTTCCTGAGGACTGTTGAGTGTCCCCACTGTAGTGCCAACCTCTTCCCAGGCCCTGTCCCTCTTACCACACTTGCCACAGCACTGTATGGTTCCTGTTCAAACATGGCCCCTTTGTCTGACCCCTTCAGTGCCCACCAACACCAGCATTTCTCTGGAAGTTTCAAGCTGTAAAACACATGCTCTCAGTTACTGATTTAATACTCCGTTGAACAAAATACACACTCTTCAGGACAGAGCCCTGTCATGACCTTGCATGCCACCACTGTCCCGTAACTCAGAGAGGCATGTGATACATATGGACTGGCTAACTTATTGTTTTATTTTCCCACTGTTCACTCAGCCCAAGACCCTCCATCCACAGATAGCTAACTATAAATGCTAAGGGGAAAAATATATAGCAGTTTGTGGGGCAGCACACATTGTACTTATCTTGTCTAGTTTTCTAAGGTCTCTTGTCCAGAAAAGCAGGTGCGTGTCCACTTCACAAAGGCAGAAAGTGAAACACTGTGGTCATTGGTATACGTGGAAAGAGGCATAGCTAACCCTATGTGCCAGCAACACAGGCCCGATCCCGAACACTGGCTGATGTTTCCTCCTTCGGAGCACTGTAGTTCTAGCAAACATTTCTTAAGAGCTGTTTCTAAAACCTGAAGTAGCCAGAGGGGAGGGGCCATGCATGGCCTACCACTGTCATTCTAGAACATCAGCTAGCAAGAGTTAGTTTATTCTCTGTGACAGTGGTCCTTAAATGACTTGGTCCCAGGATCCCTTACAGTCTTAAAATTTTTTGAGAACCCTAAAGAACTTCATGCATTTTACTTAATGACATCTATGTTAATGGTGGTCAGGGTCAGGGACATGTGTTTCCAGGTTCTTAGTATCTTGTTAGAGACTGAAATAAAGGCCATACATATTGCAAAATAGCAAGAGCACTTTATTCAAAGTAAGCCAATGGTACAAAATGAAGAAATACACTGTTGAGTGATAGTAGACCACAAGTGAGGGTACTCAGGACCCTAATACTGTCTGGGGATTCTTTTATGGGGTCCAAGAGAAGGAAGAGCTTGGTTGTTGAGGGGCATGGGGTGGATGGTTCTCTGGTTTGATTTGTAGGCTTGTGTTATGTAAACCTTGGTTCACTGCACATGTCCTTTCCATAAAGCATCTGATTCTAATCATATGCATGTCCAGGTATGCATAGGCATAAGATGGTAAATAAGAGATTGTCCCTAAAAGTTCACTTACAGGACACAGTTTGCCTTACTGTATATGCACTGAAACCAGTTTAGACTAGACCAGCACCCCCACCTTATACCCAACATAACTATAATATGCTTGTATAGAATCTGTCTATATTTGATGACTGTTAAAGGGAGAAGAGACTTACTCCATTGTTCAGTGTGGGGTGTGTGTGCAGGTTGATGCAGGTGGGGGTCCTAGGTTGCTAACAGGTTGCTAGATATATGATTAGGAAAGGGGTGTGCACATAGCCCAAGTCTCAGGTTCTTAAGCTCTTCCCTGTTTGCCTGCCTCATTGGCATTATTGAAATTAAAACAAAGAACATTAAAAATACTAATTAATTTAAAATAACTTCAAAAACCCATTACATTACTTGTGGGAATCAATTCACTCTTTCCACCATGTGGGTTTGGGGGACTGAACTCAGGTTGTCAGGCTTGGTGGCAAGCACCTTTGCCAGACAAACCATCTCACCAGCCCTCTGACACACTTTCAGATACTACATTAGTTACTTCTGCATTGCTGTGACAGCAAACCTGTGACAGAAGCAACTTGAAGGAAAGGTTCATTTTGGCTTACGATTTTCGAGAGTTTCAAGCCCATCATGATGGGGAAGGCGCGGAGGAGTAAGAGCCCACAGTGGCAGGGGTACAGTGTGACAGAGGCTACTCACACCATGGCAGACCAGGAAACAGAGAAAGTCAGTCGCAGGTGCTGGGGCTGAGAATAACCTTCAAAGTCCTTCCCCTAGTGCTTGCTTCTACCAGCCAAGCTCAGGAAGGTTCCTCAGCCTCCCAAGCAAGTGCCACCAGCTGGGAAACTAGCATTCAAAACACCAGTCTATGGGGGCAGTTCAGACTTAAATCTTAACAGTGTGGGTTCACTCAAAGGAAATAAGATTGTTTATTCTGGAACCAAAAATGAGCGATCACAGCTTAGGAACAGGGATTCAGGTTACCCCCAAATACCAGGTCCCCGTGTGGTAACAGTTTCATGAAGTTTTTACAGTACCAGAACAAAAGAAAATGATAGATCTAAGTACTTTTCAAATACATTGGTAGGAACATCTGGCGGGTGAGTTAGAGCAAAGCAAGGAAGTATCTATTATGAGACTTTGATGTTGTCTTATGACATTTTTGTAGCCTTTGGGTTGGTGAAAGATAATGGCTTATTAGTACATTCCAAAAGGATCGGCCTGATAGTCACAGAGTGGATCTCAGGTTAACCAGAGGTGAGCAATGACTGGGTATTAAGGGGTTAAAGATAATTAGTCACAGAGTGGATCTCAGGTTAACCAGAGATGAGCAATGACTGGGTATTAAGGGGTTAAAGATAATGAGATCATTTGTCTCTAGACTGCAAACATTCCAACTCTCCTCAATCACAGAAGTTCCAGTGAGTCAATCAATCAGCCTTGTAGAATTCCTGAGAAATGTCCCTTTCCCTTCTCTGTAAATCCCTAGCACCCCCTTCACAACACTGTAGAACCTTTACTTTAGCACAGTGTGGCTTTTCTTTTTTCTGGGGACTTCACTTCACGAGAGATTCTTTGTCATAGATGTATGGAAGTTGTGGGAGTGGTTACATTTGAAACTCATTGCTGGGTACTTGGGTGCCTTTTCAGTATGTAAGCACATTTCAGTTCTGGGAGACTTTCTGTTTCTTGATAATGTTCCTATTCAAAATGGTGTCTACCTCTGTTTTCTCTTTCTAGAAAACCCTACTTATGAGATTTGGCGCTTCCTCATCTCTAAATTTTTTAAAAATATTTTATTATTTTTATTTTATGTGTACGAGTGTATTGCCTGCGTGTATGTGAGTGCACCCAAGCCATGCAATGCCGCAGAGGTCAGAAGAGAACTGGAGTTAAGGACGGTTCATAGCCTCCATGTGGGTGCTGGGAATCGAACCCGGGTCCTCTGCAAGAGCAGTCAGTGCTCTTAACTGCTGAACCATCTCTAAATTTTAAATGTGCATTGATGCCTCTTTTCATTTTTTGAAACTTTTCAATTTATACTACTTTGTAATAACCCATGA